CCACAAGGTATTAGCTCCATTGGAGCCAGTCCTAGCTACACATTACTTCACCTCTGAGTCTACTCCGTTGTATAAGATGGGCTATAAACCATAAAGCATGGTTTAATCCAGTTATATGAATAAAGATGTTAAAGCTTTACATCACTTTAAGTGATGTAAAACATTTTTGTATAGCATCACACTCAACTTATACCTGAACAACATGGTTAAGTAGATGCCTACAATTTGACCCACGAGTACAGATTGGAATATGCTTAAGATTGATTCGGTGGCCAAACCCATTGTCTTTAGTAACCTAACCAAATAGTCCATCATGTTAAAGATCATTAACAAAATTTGATAATTTCACATTATTTTGAATTACTCCTTGGCACTGCTAACTTTTTTTTTTGTAAGGAGAATCTGCCCCTACAGTTAGGGTATAAAAAATGAGCAGACTGGGCTAGGAAGATGGCTCAGTGGTAGAGTGCTTGCCTTGCATGCATGAGGCCCTGGCTTCGATTCCTCAGCACCACATAAGCAGAAAAAGCCAGAAGTGGTGCTGTGGCTCAAGTGGTAGAGACCTGCTTCTAAATAGAGTTCAGAAACTTTCCAGAGTAATTAATATGTAAAACCATTTAATAGAGGATTTCCTTCACAGATAATTTGGATTTTTATAGTTTACTTTGTGCCCAGTGCAACTGTAAAAAATAAATACTTCATTATTGTTTCCTTCAATTTTTTTCCTAAAATGTATAAATAAGACCACTTAAAATGTTCTATCATAGAATATTTAGGCTTAAGTTATAATGTGTATGGTGAGACTTTAATAGGGATGGTGACCAAAGCCTTTTTTACCTTCAAGTCTCCTGTCTTCAGGAAAATTCAGCCCTGAGCTGAATTGCTTCATACTGATATAATGATTAGGAATTGGGTTCTAGGAAAAACGAAGCAAAGTTCTATTACCCACTAGTTTTAATTTTCCAACCCACAGACTGGTTTGTTTCTAAAGACATGCAAAGCACATTAAGAACTTGTACTCTGCTCCTACCATTGTAGTCCCTAAGTATATGCTCAAGTGCCTATCAAGCAGAAGCCTTTGAGTTCAACCCCAGAGCTGCCAAAACAGCAACAAGAAAGCAATCTCTTTAATGGTAGTTTCTCTTATAGAGACTGAGTTAAGGAATACATGGAGCCTTGAAGTAACTACTTATCAACTTTTCATCCTGTCCTTGGGGGACTGCTTCTCTGGGTCAGGACTGCCAGTAGAAGGTGTCCTGACAACTTTAAATCCTGCCTTTTGGAGGTAAACTTGCCCAGAGTTTAACCAGTATCTTATCAATGCTGCTAAACTAAATTTGACCATTATATTTGGTGCTGGTTCTGGGGCTTGAACTTGGTCTGGCCACTGTCCCTGAGCTTTTATTTTTTTTTTTTAGAGCCACAGCTCTACTTCTGGCTTTTTGGTAGTTAATTGGACAAAAGCTTCACTGACTTTCCTACCAGGCTGACTTCAGATCTCAGATCCTCAGATCTCAGCCTCCTGAGTAGCTAGGACTACAGGGGTGAGCCACCAGCACTTGGTGGGCACTTGATTTGAGGATTCACTCAGCTTTCCTTGAATCTCTCTGGCTAATCATTCACACATCTTGACTTGGGTCAAGATGAAGTCTGCTGTTTGCTAGTCCCCTGCCACTGTTTCCTCTCTCATCAAATGCCTTCTCTGTGAACCTGCTTACCACTCAGCCCAGTCATGGTGCCCCGGATCCTGAGTAGCTGGCTCAGACTTCTTCCTAACCCTAAGTACTTTGAAAGAGACAAATTCTACCCAGTGTCAGAGATCCTAAGCCTTCACTGTAATGCTCTTTCCTGCATGCCACTTGAGTCCACTGCCATGGTTTCATCTAGGCAGCACTAGCATCTGAACCAATCTACTTTTGGAAGAAAAACTAGAAATTGCACATGAATCCTTGTACCCTATTCTCTCCACTGGTCTCTTCCAAAATAGAAATACTCCCTTGACACTTGACCCTGCCTTCTAAGTTCCTTTACAATTTAACTGGTGCCTTGAGAATGCCTGTCTTAGTAGCTTTCCACGTTTTTTCCTTCAATACCAAGCCAGACCATTATTAGTCACACTAAGTTCTAACTTTCTCACCCAACCCGCACTATTTGTTCCTACTGTGCTGGAGAAAAAAAACCCTACCTAATTACAATACTGTATTCTCCAATTCCCACTACAGACCCCCAGTACTTCACTCCAGTGTTGCTTCTTCATCAGTTGGCTCCCTGGTAGGACTCCATCCTATGCTGGTCTTCCCTCTGTGGGCCATAGATGATAGATAGGCTTTTGAATTTTGTGAAATCCTAGAAATTATTAAATGTAATGTTTGTGTCTGTCAGATCAGGATAACTTCTTTCATGCAGTCTTCAAGTACATGACCAAAACCAATACTGCTTCGACAGTATGAAATTCAGTCTTATGCTGTAACCTGCTACTTGGGAGACCTGAGGTGAGATGCTGTCTTTAAAAGGTCCTCTGTATACTAAAATATCTGCTTTCTAAAACCTTAGTGAGAGAGCACGCATACAAAAAGTGATTGGGTATAGTATCTGGTGTACTAAGGACTACAAATACAGTTTATAGTTTACATATTTATACAATGTAAGCCTTTACATATTTATGAAATAGTTTAAATATAAATGTGATCGTTTACATATTTACATAATAAATCTAAGAGCTACCTATTTTTCCCAGATAAGCTCATCCAGCTGTGACTTCATTTGCCATTCCAAAGTGAAAGAACATTTCCATTTTACATCTCACAACTGCTAGCTATGCTCCATCTACTCTGTAGGCAACAGGGTACAAATCTCAATTTCACCTTCAATTTTTTTTTGGTTGGTCTGGGCCTGGGCACTGTCCCTCAGCTCTTCAGCTCAAGGCTAGTGTTCTACCACTTGAGCCACAGCGCCATTTCTGGCTTTTTCTGCTTATGTGGTGCTTACGTGGGCCTCATGCATGCAAGGCAAGCATTTTACTACTAAGCCACCTTCCCAACCCCTCACCTTCAATTTTTTGTTGTATCTTTTTCCTTCTTTGTTGCCCTATCACATAATTCATTTTAACTCATCAACTGTTTTGGCAAAGGAGATGTGAACTATTGTACTTTTCTCTTTAATGTCTAACAGACTTGAGTTTTCTAGAGGCTAAAGATGTATTTCAGTAGTAAAGTGCTTACTTTCCTGGGTTCCATCCCCAGTACTGAAAAAAAAAAGTTGTAGAGTCAGTCCTCCTATTCCCCATGAATATAGCCTTGGCTTGTAAACTCAGCAGTTTGCACCTGGATTATAAAAGTTTTGTAAATAATTTTGTCCCAAAGTTCTCACCTCTCCATTGTCTTCCATAATTGTTGGAGGGCACTAAGTGATGGAGAATTTTAGGGAAAGTATTAAATTGGAAGTGCTTAATTTCCTATGTCCCCAAGGAATTCTTTGGTTGATATTCTCACTCTTCTCTACACCTCTTAAAAGAAAGTCCTCTAGTGCCAGTTTTGGCCCATGAGCTTAAGGTACAGAAATGAGAAGATTATAAAGTGAAAGATCAGGATAGAAGACAGAAGAGAAAGTGGTTAAGAACACAGGATAAGCCTTGCTTTAAGGGACAGCTTTTTGGTTAAGGCTTGATGGGGTGTGGTAATGGCACTGAAACAAGTGAATCTGCAAGAGTCAGGAAGCTAAGATTTCAGGCCTTTGACTTTTTATGGTCTCCAGTAGAGAGCTGAATGGCTTTTACTTTTGGTAGCTACAGTGCTGGGGCTGGACTATGCAGTTTCTCTGGGCTCTGATAATAGCATGTGGGTTTCTATGAGCCTGAACTCACCTATTTCTAAGGATGCAGGCCCCATGACAGTCCATCAGACCATCACCTATCGGTCCCTCCTGTGCAGCAATTTCATACAGATTTCTTACATTTCTCCCTACCTTCACCCTGTTTGCCCCTCTGCCCAGAAGGTCTTACCCTGTCTTTCTGCCAGTGAAATCCCAATGAAGGTCCAACAATGCCAAATCTCTTTCCTTGACTTGAGATGGTCTTGCTATCCAGGGCCAGGTAGTCTCTAAAGGAATAAAGTAAAAAGGGAAAAATACTAAGTGGTTGGTCCTTTTCCTGGAAGGCCTGAGGACACTTACAGTGGCAGGATTTGTCCATAAGGGGCTTCTTATGATTGCATTGAGTCACTGGGAATGGGAAACCCATGAGGCAGTGGGTGCTGTTGCTAGCCTAGCTCCTTGATGTAAGGAGTGGATTCTTCTTCAGTACATGAAAGTTTATCCTCTTATTAGAAGGATTTATTTGTAAATGGACAGTGTCCTCACACTAAAATGCATTCATATACCCAGTAAAGGAGGTATGTAAAAGGAAGGAAGAAATCAGATCAGTTTAGATAAAGTTAACCACAACTGGTGGGTGATAGGAACAGACAAATCCAAGAGACTCCTATCTCCAATTAACCAGCAAAAAGCTGGAACTGAAGGTGTGGCTCATGTGGTAGAAAAGCCAAGGAAAGTTTGAGGCACTGAGTTCAAGCATCCAGTACCAGCCCCAATTGCTCCATGAAACTTGAATAGAGGCAACATTACAAAGAATGTGTTTTTAGCTATCAATACCCCATTGTTCTTCCAAACCTGCAGGGTCACAATACTGAAGTGTCCACTGTTTATACAGGCAACCGACTTATCCAAGCCATAGCTCTGTGCCCAAGAATGGAAACATCCTAAGGCCTCAGAGGTATCTGGCTTGTACTAGAGGAAGGCTGATGTACAGGTGCTTGCCAAGAGTGTCTGATGTAAAGAATGCAGCAAAACTGAAGGGGTTTAGTAGAATGAGGCAGAAACATGTGCAATAGTTCATGCAGCCAACCTTATTTATTGAGAAGTCCTAATTTTATTGCCTGTTTAGTAACATATTTGTTCCACAAACTAATTTCTCATAAAGCAGAACACAACTTTTTTCTTATAAATAGTATAAATTATTTTATTTACAGAAACTTGTTACAAAACAAATAGACTATATATTTCTTCTCTTTTAAATATCCAAAGTAATTTTCTATCCCTTGACATTTGTTCATGTTCTATACAGCAGCCAACACAAAGTCCAGCTGAGATGCTCTTGATTATGGGTACACATTGTCCAACTATTCACACATTTTAACACAGGAGATTGCTTTTATAACCAAGTTCAAAAAAACCGCTTTCAAGGCCCTACATTCACACTGACAGTATGTAGTGCTCATTTAAAATCATCTGGAAATGTAAAATTTTTGCACAAAGTGTAAAAATGATTATTTTCTTTTAAACCATGAAACTTTGAGCAATCATTTTTCAAAGCCCAACTTTCCCCCAACCCAGGACAGAATGAGAGACATGAAGAAACTCCTTGGCAACAGAACTCTTGCAGGAAGGCAGCTGCCATTTTAAGTTAGGTTTCTCAAATTACACATTTTTTTTCAATGTTCTCAGAGGTACTTCTTTGTATTATATTTTTGTAATACAAAATATTTTAAATATTCTACTTTAAACTCTCTTATTTCATGAGTGAGTGACAAAACGGACATGGCATGTACATTGCTGGCTGACAGGTTTTAACTCTTGGTGCCACTGGCAAATCCATCACCAGTGAAATTACTGTGAACCCAAAGGTCTTAAATGTAAAATACCTTATAAAATTTACCAGCATTGGTTGTTTTCAACTCCTCCCCTAAGATTTTACAAAACAATAAGTAGGTGGAAAAAGCAAACTCCAAAAGTTCAACTGAACATTCAAGTCTTTTTTAAAGAGAATCTGTCTAAGCTTTAAAGTTAGGTTCAGGCACTTTCAGTTTTTCCATTAGTTTTAAACCACATCACATACATAACAAAAGTGTGCTCAGAGTGTACACACACACAGGCACGTACCCACACATACACACACACACACTCGCACATAAAACACTAATGAGAGAAAAGCAGTGTGTCACTTAGTCACATGTGGTCTACTGGGAAATCAGGCAACCGAGGAGAAGCAATGCCCACTTCGTCTGTGTGAATCCACTCTTGAGACACTAAAAGGAACAAAGACTTTCACAGAACAGAGGCAATCCTTCCACTGTAAAGGAGGCAGGTTCTACAACTATTGGCTTGGCAGTGAACCACTTCAAATTATAAAAAGGTATTTACTTTTATTAATTAATAAATAAATACTAGATGATCTCAATTGTACCAAAACAGGATATCAGAAAAAAAGACCTGTGCAAAAATACATATTTAAATATGTACAATTCATTTTTAACAAAATATGTCTTCTGAAATAGGGCTACTTCCATATTTATAATAGAACAAGAAATCCCAAAATAAAGGTACAAAAGTAGGTTTCGTATAATTCTTTGTTCATCATTGCAGCACTTTTTTTTGTACGTTAAGAAAACTGCAGAAGTTGTCATGAAATTCTACTGGAAGGAATATAAAAATTATCTTGGTTTTAAATTGATACCAAAGTCTGTCTAAGAAACAACCCAACCACTGCAAATTTGGTTTTTGCAAGTTAATTCAATTCAAAAAAATACTTTTACTCCTGTGTTTTAAATGGTCTTAATTGTTCATCATAATAAAAAGTAGTTGTTGGAGAAAATAAAACATTTGAACAGTCTAAAGTTTAATAGCACTGTTTGGAATAGGTCTGTTTGTGGCAGGCAAAATCCAAAATGGCTAATTTCCTAATCCCAACGCTCTATGTATTACCAGGAGACATAATGAAATTCAATTAAAACTTCAGTCTAAAAAAAAAATCAATGAACACTCACTAATCTAAATATCTACATTAATCTGAATCAACTTGCTATTGTGGATCCTATTCACATCTTTCAGAAAACTTGATCTGTCTATTCATTCCATCACTAAAAGCAACTTAATTTATAACCATCAAAGTCCCCTTGGCTCTGAAAATAAATTCTACCCATACCCCATTGCACTTGTACCAAGGAATCAACTAGATACATCCTGATTCCCTCTTATCTCTTCTCCCCCACAAGTGGGATGGAACACCCAGACTGATTTCCTTTACCTATACCTAACTGGCCCATCCACACTCTCTCCTTACTAGCTCTCCTATAGTATCATTTAAAAACACATTTACTGATTGATTGCATAAAATTGAACAAGATATTGTTCTCCCCTTCCTTAAAAAAATCAGTATTTTACATCAATTTATAGTTAAAGTATCTGCATAAAGTCTTTGTTTTATTACATAATAAGAATAATTCTGTAGCAATTCACATTTATTAGGCTGGCAACCAAATATTTATTCATTCTACAGGTTTTGACTTGAAATTCCCTGAAACTGAAGTTTGTAACCAAGAACTGTGGGGATAAAAGGACACACTGACTGGCTCTGAGTAGGCCCTACCCAATGCACTGATCAGAATGGTGGGATTTACCCTGCATTGGGCTAGGCTACTCTGTGTGAACACTCTCCTAATCCAGAGGCCTGATCCTTGGTTCAGGAGCAGGAGTGGTGGGATGGTCCATTAAGAGGCCCCAGATCATTCCCCAAATTCAAGCATACCTTCTCAAACAATGCTGTTTTAACTTATTACATTTTCATTTGGGGTGAAGCACTGCAATCACTATCTTAGAGGCTCTAAAACTCTCTTAAACACAAGAGGGAGTGTGTCGGGAAACACTCTGTAAGCCTCATACAAAGCCTCCACACAAACGTGTACCTACACTCCAGCTTCTCCCATTAAGGTCTGCTTCCCACTCCACCCGCATCTAAATGTACATCTGCAGTAGCCAGAAGGGAAGTGGGGGCACACATACTGCCCAGAGCACAGGAAGCAGATACTTACACTAAGTCCTAGGACAGTATCCAGAGAGGAAAATAGGGGTAATACCTTAGAAATATTTAAGTATCCTAGCATTTTTATTTTAAAAAGACAAATCTTAAAAAATAAAATTGGGCAGGACAATCAACCCAATCTGACATACTGTTTTACATGAAAATAAGTGGTAAGACAATTCCACCTCTTTGGAAATCTTGGAAAAATTTTCCCCCCTTCATTGTGATTTTAACCCCCACCCCCATCCACCTGCCTCATTTTGGCTTTCCATCATCAACAGTAGTTTAAATTATTTTTGCTTTTTTCTTTTACATGGGATTGGTTTTGTACCATGAAAAGTAAGCCTCCAATATGGCTGATACCCGCTAACCCAGCATCAATGGCTTCAAACCAGTAAGTTGGAAGCTTTTGATAGTGTCTTATCTCAAATTATTTGCAAAAGGCTGGCCTATCTTGTCATGTGACCTTGAGTCAATACCCACATTCTACTTCTGGAACACTGCTATAAAAGCCTTTAGAAAGCTGCTTAGGATGCAGCTCCCTTTCCTCTGGAAGGTCTCCAGTTAAGGTGCTGGAGAATGACCTACAGAAGTGTGAAAAAAGGAAATGGGGGAGAGAGGGAGGAGGAAGGGAGAGAGAATGAGAAAAGAAACTGGCAAGGAGATGGAGGAGAGAGAAAAGTTGACATTAACGCTCTTGTCAAACAATCTTTTGCCTGGCCAGTCTACTTAAGAGTAGCTCCATGATATAACAAGTTAAAAAAAATAAACAAGAACAAAAACTTCTCACAGATTGGTAGCAAGCAGTCCAGACCACTTTAACACTGATAAAAGCAATCTGGTGGCTGAACTTGATCCAGTGTCCTGTATGAGTACTCACTGCTACAGACATAGCTTCGGGGAAATCCTCAAAACAACAGCCCAGCGATTACCCTGGAGGCCCAAGGAGGTTGTGAAAAGAGACTCAAAGGCATCGTGGAGTCCAGAGTGCTGAGTGGAGGTGTAACTTGTCCTCAAAAGTGTCCGGATTATTTCTCCCCGTGCTGTTTTCAGCTGTCAGGGACGTGCCTTTGGCTTTCAAAAGAGAGGGATAGGGAAACAATGAAGAGGTAAGTAAGCAGCTGTATACAGGATATTCTGAAGAATATCCCTATGACCACACACAATAAGGATCCACTGATGGGATCAGGCTGGAGACAATCAACTACAGAATTGGCTTTAGTTTTCAAAAACCTTCACTTGCCTGGAGTACAATCAATCTAAAGATTTGCTTTCACAACCTGGCAAGCATGCAGGCATGTGTTTCTAGCTTAGAGAAAAAGCTCTCAATGTTTGCTTTTTCATTTGATTTTCTGCTTTTGTGTCCTTGAAGGAACTCCAGGTGGTTAACTGAAAACAAGGTTAGCTGGACTAGCATACACAGGTGTGCCAGTTCACACCCAAGGTGGTGTGTCCATGGTAGAGAGAGGGAACTCGAGCTTCACAGGTTACATTATATATTAAGTCCTTGAGGCCATGACAGACTCTTAGAGGTGTCTAACCCGCCCCATCTTTTGGACTTCCCAGTATACACCAACCTTCATTTCGTTGTGGGAAAATTTTAACCAGCACTATTTTGAAACCTATTCCACAAGAACAGGCAAGTGAAGTCTTACTTTTCTTGGAGCAGCATACTTAAAGCATTTTGGGGTCAAGGGGTATCCCTCTCACCACTAACTGAACACAGAAATAAGAATGGACAATACTTTTTGGGGCCTGCTCGTCTGATTTCTAGCCTACACCTCATAAAGACTGGTGCAGAAGAATAAAAACTATTTTGAACAGAGGAAATCATTCTCAAAACACAAACAGATTGAGACTGATTCCAAGGAAAAGTATTCAAAGTTAAGACTGCTTAGGCCTTATCAGTTGACATAGACCTCTCAGAGAGTAAAAATCATAGGTGGCAAACTAGCATGTCATAAGCCCACATATGTGGACTAGATAAAATTATTTTTGTAGTGGTCAAATGTCACATACAAGTCTAGATCTGCAGTTTCTGGGGCAGCTGCTCCAAGTAGGTGGTATACTCCCCACCCACCACCAGTATTCCAGGCACTGTTACTTGTTCCCTCATCTGTCCTTTTTGTTAGTTGTGGGCAATAAGATCTACAGACCTTGTGCACATGCGAGGTGATTAGTACAGCACTTCCTGCAGGGCCCAGGGCTCAGCAAGACACTATATTCAGAGAAGTTTTTAAGGGGTGGGTATAGAACTTCTTGCTGTTACCTTACCAATGCTTACCATAAACAGTAATGGGTAACTACAAGCAAGAATTAAAAGCAAAATTTTGTTTTCTGAACCCCTCCCCACCATGCAAAAAAAGCCAAACAACATGTTAGTTGCCCAAAATTCAAGCAGCTGCTTAAATTCAGATTCTACTTTCATATCTTTGGCATTGTAAACTCATACAAATACTGGGAGGAAATTATATTACATTAGGAAACACCATGGTAATTTATGAAAAAAAAATTACCTAGCCTAGCATTTCAGTTTCTCAGGTGGGGAAGTGGGAAAAAAACATTAAAAAAGAGCCTCACATTTTAAGTCAGGGCTCTGGGGTGCTGCTGCTGAAATTCCTGTTCGTAAGCAAGGTGAGGAGATATCCTGATGAATGAAATAACAAGACGAGAGATGAGCTGAAGTTAGAGCAAAGGGAGCTGGAAGAAACACAGCTACTGGAGAGGCGGTCAGGAGAAACCAGCAACAGCAGGAGGTGGGAGGAAGACAAAGGTACGGCATAAGAAAGTCATGGTTAACTGTGAATCCCACACCCACTCAGCCACCTACTACTAATGAACCCACAATCCCATTTCTCTTTAACTCTTTGAACTTGAATTGAGATTTTTGTTCCTCAGCTCTACCCATCCCAAGTTGTTTTCCATCCTTCCTCAGAGAGGAGAAAATAGAAGGTAAAATAAAATCAGAGTATCTGAAATTGCTCAAGATAAAAAATATTACAAGCTCTTTCTCCTCAAGTTTTAAATCATCCCTTTCCAGATGAGTTTTGTTTCAGCCCAGTTTTCTGCAGAGGAACCCTCTGGGGAAGGTTATGTCACCTGCTTCCTTCCCTAACAGTACTGAGACACTAGCTGGCTGCATCTGCAAAGACACTCACTCCCTTTCACTGCTGTCTCCCAGGAAGCCTTTCTCAGCCCTACATCCTAATTGAAGACTGGCTTCCTCTACTCAGGAACATCATTGAAAGACATCCGAATTCTGTAGAGAGAAGCCTATTTTACCCTCACACATTCCTTAAAAAAAACAAACACAAACAAAAAAAACTGGAAGCTGGGCAAATCGACCACACAAATTTCTGAGCTGGTAAAAAGATACCAAGGGAGAGGCAACAGGCACTGTGGGGGGATTCAGAGTCCCAGTCCTACCTGATGAAGGAGGGAACTGTTCGTCAGTCCTTGTGCTCCGGGGATGGTGCCTGTGTGTTTCATGTGGACGTTGTTCGTGGCTGGCAATTTGGCAACCTTTGTGGGTTTGCTGCTGCTGTTGTTGATGCTGCTGGAGCCAGGAGAGCACTTTCTTTTCTTTCCTATAAGTTTCTCTAGAGGAGTGTGTGAGTGTGAAAAATTGCCATGGGAGTTGATAGGCAGTTCGTTAGACTGGTGAATGAATGGGCCAAGAGAAAGAGTGGAGTCACTGCTGTTCACCACCACACTCATCCTCTTGATGGACTCTGCGGGGCTCCCACCTGGGGGGCCCCTCCCTGACGGTTCATGCCGGAGGCTCACAGAGTGCGTTTTATTTGTCACACAGTTGAGGCCAATGCTATGGGAAGATGCCACCATTGATGGGTAGGGAGGCCCGGTATGAGTCACACAGTTTTTCCTAAAAGACTCCATGGAATGAGAAGAAGAGGAAGAGGAGGAAGAGGAGGAAGAGTGAACTGATAGCGGGGAACTGGTTTTGCGTTTCTTTCCTGAGCCGCCACTGGTACTGCTGCTGGCGTTGTGACAGTTAGTGCTGTTACCAGAAGACTCCTTGGGCCTTAAAGACTTGCTGGACTTCAATTTCTGAGGTTTCCTGGCCATAGGGGAGGAGGGGACTGAGGAGAGGCCAGAGGGTGTGGAGGGGGAAGAGGATGAAGAGGACACTTGTTTGGATTGCATACTGCACACAGGATCCATTGCCCCAGAAATGGCAGGCTGTGCATTTAGTGTGGTTCCATGAGCTGGTACCAATTTGCTATTTGGAGAGATGCAGGTGGATGAGAGCAGAACTGGGGATGTAGAGACGGAGGCTGCTGAAAGACTGCTGATCCCACCTTGTGATGTCGGCACAGAGTTTGTCCGGTGAGGAATGCGTGCACAGATGGGTGACGTAGTACTGGGCACTGGGGGGATTTTCCTAGAAAAAGGAGAGGATAGTGAGTGCTATTCACCGTAGCTGTTCATATTTGTAGAGGAATGCACCCTGATAACCACGCTCCCTTCAGAGTGATCACTCTGAAATCCTAAATCAGTCCTGCTTTCTTCCTTCTGATTCTTTACTCTTTTTTCCTGTGAAACTGAAGCATGTGTGCCTTCCCTTACAACTACCACAACTTTGCATCTCCACTTCCATCCCCAGCTATGGATCTTCCTTGAATTCCAAGAATGTGCCATGATGTAACACTCTATATAATCTCTGCTCTCACCACTCTTAGGCCCAGCGTCTGCTCTGCTTCAGCTCAGCACCACTTCCTTAGGAAATCTGTTCTGCCCATCGGGACAGAGCAGCTCTTCAGACTCAGAGTGTGCCATACCTTGACTTCGTAAGGCTTGAGGTGGTTTTACTGTGTGAGTAAAACTCTTTGGCTCCTTTGGACATGTTTGCAATTCACAACTTATCTACCATTCGAGTCCCAGTACCTAGAATTCTGAATGCACTTGATAAACTTTGAGGAAACTCAAGAATGAATAAGCTACTAGTAACTGGAAGGTTGTAATTATCAGCCTTAACATGCAGTAATTTTCATAATGATTGGTAATGTACTTATTGGGAGGTTAGAGTTCCATTCACACAATCAAACCAGGGATCCTCCTCTATTGTAGCTCAATTTAATGGCGACACCACCAATTTTTCCAATAAAATGTAAATGGAATTAAAACTGAAGTAATACACAGGCACAGTGGTTCAAGCCTGTAATTCCAGCACTAGGAAGCTGAGGCAAGAATGATACATTTAGGGCCAGCCTAGGCCACACAGTGAGTTTGGGATAAGCATGTTCCAGTTTAAGCTACATGGAAAATTCCAAGCAAGTCTATAGTACAAGAACATTTCTTACAAAGGCCGAGGTAACAGAAAAAAAGGTCCTGACTGCCACACTCTCACTTGGCTGACAGAATCATAACTCCTGCACAGGCAGAGAGAGGAGGAAGAGGAGAGGGGGGCAGGGGGAAGGAGAGAGAAGGGGGAAAGAGGGAGGAGAGGGAAAAGGGGGGGAAAACGAGGGAGGGGGAGAGAGGGGCAGGGGAAGAAAAGGGGAGAAGAGAGGAGAGGGATGGGGAGGGGGAGACAGAGATAGCGACAGAGATAGAGAGGAGCTTTAACTGCTGCCAGAGTGCTTTCCAGGTGCCTTTTAGGAAGATCACTGATAGTACATGGAATTAATGTGGGCAAGCGCTTGTAACCTCTCTTAAAAGCACACTATGAGGGCAGTCTTACCCCTCCCCTCTGCACCCATGACAGTCACCTGTGAAGCTTGCAAGCACCAGCACCAATTATATCAGTTTATGGGAAAGGGTGGACAAACACTAGTAATTTGTTTATTCTCATATTCTCTCTCTTGCTCCCTTCCTCTTTCCCCCCCCCCCCCCTACTGGGTTAACTCCCTCTGTTTTAACTCAGAGACTTGTACTTGCTAGGCAAACACTCTACCATTTGTGCCATACACTCAAGACTTGTTCATTATTTTTTTTGCTTTGTATTTTTCAAGTAGAGTCTTTTGTATTTATCAGGAGCTGACCTTAGACCATGATCTCCCCACCTAAGGCCTCCCATGTAGTTGGAATCATAGATACATATCACCACATCCTGTTTATTGACTAAGATGGGGCCTTATAAACTTTTCTACCTGGACAGGCCATAAACTGTGATTCTTCACCTGGCCAAATACTCTAAATTTCTCCAGGAGATTCTAATGTACAAAGCTGAGCTCTGTATCCCTGTGCCACTCAAAGAGCAGGACAACAACTGTTATTACCTGAGAAGTTTGTTAGAAATGAGAGTTCCATGACCTGACCCACATAACCCTATGTCTCTCTTAGCAAGGCCATCTAGGTGATTGGGGCCAGCACAAGTAGCTCACCGGGTGTAGTGGTTTCTTGAGGCCACCAGGTGGCGCATGTAACTGGGACTAAGAAATCCCAGGGGAAAGGAATAGGCTTCAATACAAGGAAAAGATACCGCTCTCACAGACAGCTGCTATTTCCTCCTTAAAAAGCTCTTTTAACGTAATTTATTACCTTTTTTAGTAGGAGGGAGCAAAGTAAGAATATGCAGTCATAATGGCTTGTGTTTGCACAAATAAAATATATAGAGTCATACAATAAATTAAAACAGTTTTGCCTGAGAAGGGTAGGGAACAGAGACTGAGGCGTTTCAATATATGCTTCCTTTATTCAATTTTCTTTGGTATTACCAATTCAAACAGATAAACAAACAAACAAGCAAAAAACACTGGTAACATCCCAGACCTTCTCAGGGATATGGAATTGGTCTTGATCAATACAGGGCAAGTAGTTTCCAGAAGTGACAGGAACTGGGCCACTGCTATGCTTCTGAGCAAGGGCTGGTCTCATTCTACCATTGTTCAAAAGAATCACAAGCTGAAGATGACATTTCAGATTCAAATCCCACCTCAACTCACCCCTACATTTACCACCATAAGGGAAAGGAAACGTGTTTCCCCAACAGGACTCTTCTACAAAGGAATAGGGTTTGGCTAACCCAATAGGATACAACCTGGGCCATTGGAGGCATGGAAGAGGCCACCTGTGAACAGTTCTCTGGGTGAGAAGTGCTGAACTCTACCAGCCAATCCCAAGGGTTACTTGGAAAGGCTGCCCAGAAATAACAGTATCTGTATCAGGGAGCATTTCTATAGCACCTGGAGTTGGACCCTCATTCCATGTTCCTGGGAACTCTCCTGGGAGCTCGCTCATTGCTCAGATGTATGTTCATACAGCTGTACTAACGTTTCTAAGACCGAAGAACTTCTTCCTCAGAGTGTGTGATAAATAAAGCCAGTTCCTTGAGCAGACACTGACAGAGTAGAGGGCAAGCAAGCAAACAAATTAAAAAAATCCTATCACAATTCTGCTTTTGAAAATGGTGATGGCACAGGGGGAAGATCTCTCCAATGGGAAGCACATTTGGAGGGCCCTCCTAAACCCATGGTTTGGTAGGATCCATGGAGCTCTCCAAGAACCAGCAGGCTGGCTGAAGAAATGATAAGCTCAACTTCAGGTATCTTGGAGGTGCTGTGATGTGGAGAGATCTCCAGGATTCCAAACAAACCCACTGCTTTTTTTTTTTTTTTTCTGGGCAGGGGCAATGGTTCTTCATAAAGAAGGAGAGCCTTTTATGCAGGAAGAACCAGGAAGAAATGGAAAAGAGAAAGGCAGAGCTAGGAAGGCAAGGATTTGCTTCCTCCGTGATTAAAAGCAGATTTTGTCAATGGTCTTATAATGTGATTTTCAAAGGCAGAAGTGTTTCTTCTAAACTTTACTAGGAAACCAAACTAGGGGAGAAAATAAGACACATTAATATAGTTCATTTGAATAGGACAGAAGTTAGTCATGGCTGCAGGGCATATTTAGAATGACCTGCCTGGGAATGATTCAAACACCAGATGAGGAGAAAAATCCTCCTTTCAAAAAATGTTCCCAGGTCAATAGAGCTTGAAGTCTTCCCCATTACACACGACATCTCTTACTCTTGACTGTTAGAAAACAGAGTGCCTGTTACACACTCTGAGAAGTCCTGCAGAGATGAAAAGAAGCTTACTTAAGGTTGACTTCAACTCGCCATAGAACCTTTCCTATATTTCAAAATCCTATCTGGGAAACACTACCATACACCTGTAAGGCCATATAAGCAATAGCTCAGAGATAGAATACTTACCTAGCAATCATTTGCAAAGCCCTGCGTTTCATTCCAATGCCAACAAAATAAAACAAGATGCAAATCAGAACACATAGCTCCTCTCCTCTCCTTCAAATCTTCAACAGCTTCTGAGTCTCTGCGAGGCACTTCCAGTGTTAGTGTTACTTAGCCCTTGCCTCTCTCTCAGCCTTAGTCTTGAACTAGCTCGCTTTCTTGTGTTTCCCAAATACTCCACTTCAGACTCAAGACCTGTGCATGTCTGGTTACTTCTGTTTGGACTTCACTACTCTTAATGTCCCAGGAGCTGCTATTTCTGCCCTATTCATCTCAGGTCCAGGGTTACAACCTAGAGATTTCCTTGAATACCCTGAACTCTTACTTTCATATCTTAGCTTTATTTGGAAACAGACTGCTCCAGGAAGAACTCCTGACCTTACCACTAACCTTGTGTTTTAGTTTTTACTAAGTGGGGACAATCAAGGTCATATGACCAAATTGTGAAAATTAATCTGTACAGTAAATTTCTGGCACCCAGCAAACTCAGTGTTATTATCTCTAGTATCTCCCTGTTGACAAGCTTTTGACTTGGTTTTCATCTCCCTTGACTCCCAACTAGACTTTAAGCTTTCTATATGTGAGCATCGTTCTAATAGGAGTTCCAGGACACAGAATGAGATGTGGTTGCTGAATGAATGGATGACTACATTATCAGGACTAGTCAGAGGCCACATATTCATGTGGCTATAGCCCTTTTCTTAAAATCAGTTCTGGAGGGCACCAAAAACATTACTCAACAGACTGAGTAAGGGAAGCTCTCCCCTCACCCACAGGCACTCACTTCCATAGCTGTGCATTCAGATGCTTCTCCACCATGAGGTTGAGAGCACAGCGAAGCCGGTTCCACCTGGAGTCAAACACGTAATAGCCTCTTCCAATCTGCCGGCTCCCAAATGTGCAAAACTGAAAGACAGAACATAGCACACATGCTTGCCACCCCCAACACCAGCATAAGGGGAGGGCTTATTCTGTGTCAAGAAATTAGATAATCAGGAAAGACAGAGCTAACTCTAGATCCCAGAAGAAGTGAAGTATGAGTGTGACAATGCCTGATCTTGAATTTGTGGAAGAGTACAAAACTTCCACAGGTAGATTTTTGCATGCTATCTCTGGGGTCCCTTTTCTGAGCTACTCTCATACCTTGACCACATCCCACATGTACAGGTGTGCCAAGGTCCCTGGCTGGTCCCCCCTGCAATACCCTGTCCATGCTGTGTGAGGAGGATCAGCATAGGAATGGATGTGGAACTTACAGATGCTGGCTGAGGATGATGACCTGAATAATGACAGTCCAGTTTTTCAATAGACTCTTCTTTGTCATCGCCTTCGCCCTCCTCACTGGATAACCGAGAAGTTGGCTCAGTGGCAGGCAGGGGAGGGTGTGGAGATTCATGGGCTGGAGGAGGGTCAATGGGGGCACTCCCACCTTGCTGAGCAGGGCAGCCTGGAGGCCTTGGTGAGTAGAAAGTGCAGTATGGATCAGATCACACACCTGGGAATAAGCCACCTTAACTCAGATACGACAATGTATCCAAAGCTACCTGGTGGGAGACCTGGGTTCCACCACCAGACTCAGGGCAACATGCTGGTACAGATGGCTGTGGAGCAAAACAACTTCTCCACAGTGAGGTAAGCTATCTGCCAGATACAATCAAAGCTAACATATAACTAGTTCTCCCTTCCACAGCTACTTGGGCAACTCATGTTTCCCTTTCACTGTTCATGAAGAGAAGGAATTTAATAAAAATTATCTCCTTAGTTCCTCTGCAAATTTCAACTGGACTTGAATTCCTAAGACAAAGTGAAATCACCAAAGACTGATTCTCTAGAGTAGCCTAAGAAGCACAGGAAATGATTAAAGAATGGGGAGGTCACCTCCACCATGTATGTGGGTAGTCAAGAACCTGTTGCTCAAGGGCAGTCATGTCTCTAGCTTCCTACTGCTCTGATGGAAGGAAACACTTCAATGAGAAGATGCCAGGAATCTCAGAGACTAATCACACACTGGTGAGCCTCTGCCAACTACTCCAACTCATCAGCAACCACAGAGTTCATGTTGGTACAGGTTCAAGCATACATTTGGATTGTCATGAGGGGGAGGTACTTCTACCTTTAGGCACCCACTCAAAGATTAAGACACATGAGGGTGAAATAGTATGCAACAAAAGCTAATGGCCACATACTCCTCAGCAGAAGCCTTGTTAGCCAGTGGTTGAATAGCTGACACTGAAGGTCCTTATTCTCTATGCCTTTTCTCTCTCTTCCCCTCAAGGAAATAGATCCAAAGCCCTTCACTTCAACTTGGTTACACATGTAATCACAAACATACATTTGCCATCATTGTCTGAGGCACATGTATGACAAATTCTTGTCAATATGCTCTGGATTGCTGTGCAGCTAAAATGCCTAATCTATGCTCATTTATCAAAATGAATGAATGAAAAAACATGTTGGTAAATGGATGCTATAAAAACTCAGGCTAAAATGCCTGTCCCCAACCATAATTCCCATTGCTGGTATTCTGCAAGAAGTAAGAAATGAATGGGAATTGCTGTCAAAGCCATATGAAATGTTCTATCAGTCACCTATAGGAAGTATCAGAAACCTGATGTCAAACAAGCATCAGACAGTTAATTCTGGCTTTATGCTACTACTTGTACTGGCAACCAAGAAGAGTCCTGGATGGAACTTCCTGATAACATTGACCATTTGTTTTTATATTAAAACCCAATTTAAAACTATCTCCTGAGTGACCATGAGTTGATTTTAGTATTTACAAGTTTGTTTGCTGAAGGAAGGAAAACTGGGGTGTGGCCTACCTTGGAAGACTGGGGGTGTGAGGTTTAGGTTTACTAGCTACAAAAGGCTTTGATTCAGAAGGAATCACTCCATGAGAATTTTGGTGCGGCTCCAGCGACGTTTTAGGAGGGGCGGGATGCGGGTCCCTGAGAGGCTGTGATGGTTGCTGGGAGTCCAGATGGCGAATGGATTCCTTTTCCCTGGTTTTGTTTTTGTGCTCGGCTAATAACACATCAAATCGTTTTCTTCTACCCTGAACAGCCCTCCGCTGGGTTAAGGAATGTGTCTACAAACCAAAACAAAAACAATAAACAAACAAGAGGAACCTCAATAACTTTTATGTCATACATCCCCAGACACAACTTTACTAAAAAACCAATCTACACCATTCTTCTCAACATTTGTTAACCTAGAAATAAGAATGGAACTTTTCTCCTTGGCTAGACTAAAAAGCATATATTCTAGATTCTCATTGAAGAACCTGGAGATGCTACCCTTGAATCAGAGTAAAGGATAGATGATTTGTGTGGCATAACTCAAGGCGTGGAGTGCCTGGTTCAGCAAACATGAGACCCTGAGTTCAAACCCCAGGAAGAAGGGAGAAAAAGAGGGAAGGAGAAATATTAACTGTGTCCACTGGCTTTGTGCTTAGCAAAGCAGTAGAAATAAGTAACAAATACTCATGTTTTATACCCTAGAGCAATTAATTTATCCAGGATTTTATCAACTCCATTAAAAAACTTTTCCTCTTTTGATAATTAAAATTCTGAATGTTAATATAAAAGTAACAATTATCCCATAAAACGAATGTTAAGGTCACTCATGGTTCATGCTTCTAATCTACTAAGGAGGCTGAGATCTGAGGACTGCAGTTCCAAGCCAGCCCAGGCAGGACAGTTTGAGAATCTTATATCCAATTAACCATAAAAAACCCAGAAGTGGAAAACACACAGACACACACACACAGACACACAGACACAGACACACAGACACACAGACACACACACACACACACACACACACACACACACACTCTCTCTCTCTATCTAAATAAGGAGAGCACTCAGTTAACTTCCAGAACATAAAAATTAAACACAACTGCTTCTCTCTATTCCAATGCAAATGCTCATGTGTTTTAGACACAGAGGACTACAACCAAGGAAGACTTGAGAGAAATAGAGAGTAAAAGGCTGGGAACAAAGAGCTGTCAACAGGAAGAGACAGAAAAGCAGAACAGACTCCTAAAAATAGCCACTTCTTCTGTAAACCAAGAAAACTGAAGGAGGTACCTTAGTTCTACCCACAATGTACAATTCTAGAAAGAGGAATGGGTATATAGAGGAGAAATATGGCCAAATTATGGCAGATCTGGAAGTATAAAGGCAGAAATATAAATCTGACGTTTAAGCATATCTTATATATAAGAAGTCTAACATTACTCCTGGCAGAAGATACAACTGAATGTACAAGTGTGAAGTGGTAAAAGTTGGGCAAATCTTACCAACAGTCACCTCCAGTCACTGGGAAATGATTTTGCAGGTCAGCTTGTCTATTCTGCATACTTCTGCAGAGAGCCTAATGCCCAAGAGAGGATGAATCTATACCAACTACAACAGCCTCCATTACATCATCTATGAGCATAAGTAAATTCACCCATACATTTCCTTCTTTACGTTACAAAATACTGTACATGGTATTTTATATACACACATATGTAACGTATATATGTATTGGTTATATATATGTGTATGTGTATATATACATATTAGCACAGATGGAATGTCACTTGGTACTTAACATAGTTAAAAGACAAGAAAGAAGGCAGACAGTTTCATCCCAACTCTGAAGAATGTAAATGATTCCTTCCCTTTCTTGCCTTCCTCCTAGTACTCTGCCAGTACCAGGACTTGAATTCAGGGCTTTATGCTCTTGCTCAGTTTTCTTGCTTAAGACTAGCACTCTAACACTTGAGCCATGCTTTCTATCCAACATTTTGTTGGTTAATTGGAGATGGAGTCCCACAGATTTCCCTATTATTATCTCTTTGAACCTTGATCCACTGGGTCTCAGCCTCCTGAGTACCTAAGATTACAGGCATGAGCCACCAGTGTCCAGCCAAACAGGATTTCTAATGAGCTCTAAAGAACATTGCCAAAAGAAATCTGATGACTTGCCCCACCTTCTTAATAATCAGAACTCTCTAGGGGTTGCTCATGGCATATAGGAAAAAGACTGAGTAGCCTAGCTTCTGGGGCTCTGCACACTCTAAGAGCCTTGTTTCATGATCCTTGGGTATACTTCATGCCTTTGCCTTACTCCTATTCAGTCTTCTGGCTATCTTTCAGGCTTTAAGGTGACCGCTCTACCCTGTCACAGAGTTTTCATGTGTATTATTTCTTCCACCTCTTTCACCTCTCCTACCCGCAGTGCCCAGATAAATCAGAATATGACCCCACCCCAGTGTTCCTGTAGCTGGGAAAGTTCCCTAGCAAAAACCTTGACTGCAGGCTGTCATAACACAGTCCTCTCTCTCCCTGTCTCCTTCTTATAAATCATTAGTGGTGATTTACTTATCTGAATCACTATCCTATGGCTCTCCATCTTCTGTATTAGACTGTAAGCCCCACAAGGACAGAGAACATGCCTTGATCTTACCCTTTACAGCTCCTGAAAGCTAAAATGAGTCTTCTCTTCATAGATGCATGTAATAAGGTTATTTGATATAATAACTGAATGGGACAAAGGGCAACCAAATCATGAAATCTTTCTGCATAGAGGCACAAGGAACATCAGACAGGCAATCTGTCAGATGAGGAAATAAGAAGGAAACAATCAGGTGAGAGTAGACAAGAGGACATGAGTGATGGAAGGGAACAGCTGCAAATCCCTTGCCAGGGGGAAGAATACACATGACAGTCTTAAGTCTAGGACAGAAAAGATCTGGCAGCAACCTAGAGTCATGCAGGTAAGGTGCACTGAGCACATTTAGTCAGGAAGACTCCTGCATATTATGTTTATGGCAACACTGTTCCTAATAGCCAAATGATGGCATTAACAGAAGTACCCAACAACAGATGAATAGGTAAAGATAAAATATAGCTGTACACACACACACACACACACACACACACACACACACACACACACACACACACACACACACACACACACACTAGCATATTACATAGGCACAAAGAAAAATAAAAGTCCCTGGGTGCCGGTGGCTCATGGTTCAAAGCCAGCCCAGGCAGGAAAGTCCATGAGACTCTTCTCTCCGGTGCTGTGGTTCAAGCGGTAGAGTGCTCGCCTTGAGCTGAAGAGCTGAGGGACAGCGCCCAAGCCCAGAGTTCAAGCCCCATGACCGACAAAAAAAAAAAAAAGTCCTATCATTTGTAGGAAAATAAAAACAGCTAGAGGACATCATACTGAGATAAGCCAAGCTCAAAAAAGGAAAACATCAGATGTTTTCACTCATATGCGGAAACTAGACCTAGAACACACACACACACACACACACGTGTGTGGATATGGACATATCCATATATATACATGCATATCACATATATATGAACCTATATATATACACACATATACATACATACACAGGTTAATCACAGGACATGAATCAAGCTAAGAGACTAGTAAGTAGGAGAGAGGATAAAGGGTGATTAACTTTGTAACAGTTTTTAAGACTTCCTCATAGTGAACCTCAGTAACAGCTGATGATCAATGGGAGATGTAGGAAAAAGACTGTAGGTGGGTGGGGACTAAGATGGTTGGGCTGGTGGGGAAGATAAAGGAAAATGGCTGCTATGGAAAACAGATTTTCAACTATGAAAATGAAACAAGGAATCCTGTTGGGGATGCTATTTTTAGGGGGGAGGGTGGGAGTTAGGGAGAGTGAGAAAGAGGGTAAGACTGATTTGAATACAGTGTAAATGTGTGGAAATCAACCTCCCTAGCCATAAAAGAAATGCAAATCAAAACAACATTAAGATACCACCTCACCCCAGTTAGAATGGCAAAAATCAAGAACTCTAACAACAACAGATGCTGGAGGGGATGTGGACAGAAGGGAACCTTACTGCATTGTTGGTGGGAGTGTAAACTTGTTCAACCACTTTGGAAACTAGTATAGAGGTTCCTCAAAAGACTCCACATAGAGCTCCCCTATAACCCAGCAATCCCACTTTTGGGCATTTACCCAAATGTTTACAAACAAGACCACACTAAGCTACCAGCACAACTATGTTTATTGCAGCATTATTTACTATAGCTAAGATATGGAACCAACCCAGATGCCCCTCAGTAGATGAATGGATCAAGAAAATGTGGTATATATACACAATAGAATTCTATGCCTCCATCAGAAAGAATGACATTGCCCCATTTGTTAGTAAATGGAAAGACTTGGAAAAAATTATATATGTTTTTTTTTTTTGGTCCAGTCGTGGGGCCTGAACTCTGGGCCTGGGCGCTGTCCCTCAGCTCTTCAGCTCAAGGCTAGCGCTCTACCACTTGAGCCACAGCGCCACTTCCGGCTTTTTTCTTTTTGCTTATGTGGTGCTGAGGAATCGAACCCAGGGCTCAGGCATGCAAGGTAAGCACTCTACCACTGAGCCACCTTCCCAGCCCTGGAAAAAATTATTATTAAGTGAAGTAAGCCAAGCCCAAAGAAACATAGGTCCCATGGTTTCCCTTATTTGCAATATCTAGTATATGTATGAGTGAAGCAGAAAAGGTCAGATAAGGTGATGTTAGGCAAATGAACCCTAAGATATATATTTAAATGTTTTTTTTCTTTCATGCATTTGTTTCTAAGATTATTTCTTAGTTGCTTTATATGTCCCTCCCCCACAGTATAACCCCTGCTTTCACTGTATTTGATGTCAGTATAATTTGTGGAGGGGAAGGGGAAAAACAAGTCGTTTAAATAAGGATACAGGTGGACCTGTTGCAACAATGAGAAGTACATGTTGTCATGTCAAAAACGAACTTTACAACTTTGGTGGTGGTGGGGGGGACGGGGGGAGGCTGGAGAAGGGATGGGAAGGGGAAACAAAGGAGGAGGCTACAATGCTCGATAAGAAATGTACTCATTATCTTGCCCATGTAATTGTAACCCCTCTGTACAGTATTTTCACAATAAAAAATAAAAAAAAATGAAATCTCCCAAAATAAAAGCAAAGGAAGTAAAGTAACCTGCCAGGTCAGGGAAAGTTAAGTAAAGATCTCTGGAAAGTACAGGCCTCACAGGGGCCTATATATTCTGCCAATTCTATGCTGAATTCATGACCAGTTAGGGGTGAAGATACAGATTAATGTAATGACAAGATTAGTGCTAATGAGCAATGATACCCTTATTAGACTAGCAGAAGAAGCTAGGTGTGGCGGCTTATGCCTATAATTCCAGCTATTTTGGGAGATTCATATGAGGAAGACTGGTTCCAGACCACCCTAGGCAAAAAATTTGTGAGATCCCTATGTCAACTAATACAAAACTGTGTGTTAATTGGGCACTGGTGAGCTATGCCTGTAATTCTAGTTATCTTTAAGGCTGAAATTGGGAGGGACATTCATGGCCAACGTGGGCAGAAAAGTTTGAGATCTCTTCTCAGGAAAGTTGGGTACACAGTGGTATGTACCCGTTAGCCTAGCTACTACAGGCAGTTATGCTCAGACATGCACCTGAGCAGGAAGAAAGGCCTTATCTCAAAAGTGACCAGCAGAAAACAGGGCAATGTGACTCAGCAGTAAGAATACCTGCCTAAGAAGCACGAGGCCCAGAGTTCAAACCACCCAAAAAACAAAAACAAAGAAAACTAAAAAAAACAAAAAACTGGATGCAATTGTATGTATCCAATTGTATGTATCTACCTAGTTATGCAGGACGCATAACTAGGAATATCATGATTCAGGGAGACATAGTGAGATCCTACTTGAAAAATAATGAAAGTAACAATGGCTAGAGTTATGCTCAAGTGATAGATCACCTGCCTAGCAAACAAGAAGCAGTTCAAACCCCATTACTATCCTAATACTTTTTTTTTTTTCTGGTTGGTCATGGGGCCTGAACTCTGGGCCTGGGTGCTATCCCTCAGCTCCTCAGTTCAAAGCTAGCGCTCTACCCATTTCAGCCACAGTGCCACTTCCGGGTTTTTCTGTTTATGCGGTGCTGAGGAATCAAACCCAGGGCCTCATGCACACAAGGCAAGCACTCTACCACTGAGCCACCTTCCCAGCCCCTATCCTAGTACCATTTTTTAAAAAGAAAAAGAGCTGAGGAGCACATATATCTGAAAAGAAAGACAGGTGCAAGGAATGGAGATCCCTTATCAGGTCACATAGCAATCAAGGCAAATGAGGAATGGAATGAAGCTTCTTGTACTTCTCAGGATTTACTCAGAAGAACTGAAATCAGGGCTCTAAGACATACTAGCCTCCCCATGTTTATCTAATCACTATTCACAGTAGCCAAATGTGGAAACAAGCTAAAAGTTCAGGTACGATAAAAAGAAAATGGGGGTGAATACATGCTGTGGATTAATCAGCCTTTAAAGAGAAGGAAATCCTATTTGCAACAATATGGATTGCCCTTGGGAATGCACTAAAAGAAATAAGCCACTCACAGAAATATAAATACATGATTTTGCCAGGTGCTGGTGGCTCACACCTGAAATCCTAGCTACTCAGAAGGTTGAAATCTGAGGCGTGGCTTAAAGCCAGCCTGGGCAGGAGAGTTCATGAGACTCTTATCCCCAGTTAAGCATCAAAAAGCCAGAAGTGGAATGTGGCTCAAGTGGTATAGTGCAAGCCTTAAGCAAAATGAAGGACAGCACCCAGACGCTGAGTTCAAGCCCCAGGATTGGCAAACCAAAACCCAAACCAACTGTCCCCCTCAAAAAAATAAAAAAAACAAAAAACAAAAACAATTAAACAAAAAAATCCCATACCATTTCATTTACATGTGGTATGTAAAGATAAACACAAAGAATGAAAAATTATATGGTTGTTATTAGTGGCTAGGAGGACAGGGTTGAAAGGAGGAAGCTACTTTAACAACAGTCCCCAAAGATTCAGGTAACCAAGATGAATAAGTTCCAGAGATCTGTTATACAACCTATAGTCAATAATACTATACTGTACTGTACTGTATTGTACTGTACACCTAAAAATACTAACAGGCAGCTGGGTGCTTGTGGCTTACACCTGTAATCCTATTTACTCAGCAGGCTGAGATCTGAGGATCGTGGTTCGAAGCCAGCCTGGGCAAGAAAGTCCCAATAAACTACTCAGAAAAAGCCAGAAATGGCATTGTGACTGAAGCAGTAGAGCACTAGCCTTGAGAAAAAGAGCTCAGGGTTAGCACACAGGCCCAAGTTCAAACCCCATGACCAACAAAAAAATAAAAATGAAAAATAAATTTGAAAAAATACTAAAAGGATATATGTCATGTCAAATGACTTAACCACTATAAAGTTTTAAAAGAAAAATCTGTTTTATCACCTGCCTCTCAGGTAATTTCCAAAGAACAGTTTTTGGATGAATAAAATGTCCCTCACTGAACACAGGTATTACAGGCAATCCAGATTACTGAGAGCCACATAGGCAACATGGAGGGTAACAAGAATGAGCAAGTGGTTAAAATGGTAAAGGAAACTGTGAAAGAATTCTAATTCTATAGAACTTTAATGGATATCTTAAAAAAAAAAACTACCTCTCTAAGTTTTCTATTAATATTCCAAAAGAGGTAAAAGCCATTTTCTCTGAGGTATGTTTTTTTACCTAGAGATTCAAGCCTAACTCAAGACAAAATGCAAAATCAAAATACATAAATGTGGCATTTCCTCTTCCCACAAAAGAGGAGAATGTCTAATTTTTGGTAAGTTTAAATATGAATTTAAACATTCTTTTATTCTAGGTGTAATGTATAACCCCAGAACTTGGAAGGGTTATTTGAATTTAGGAGTTCAGAACAATCCTTGACAACACAGTGTGATTCTATCTTTTGTTAAGAAAGCTGGAGCTTGAGGTGTCTCAGGTGGTAGAGCACCTTCCACCTGGCAAGTGCAGAGCTGAGTTCAAACCTTAGCCCCACAAACAGAAAGAAAAGAAAAAATCACTATTGTAAGACAAAATCTGTACACTAAAAATTAGAAATCGAATTAAAAGAACTAAAATTTAAAATCTACCAGTTTAAAAAAATTGGAAGAGCTAATTTTTTAAATAATTTTTCCCCCTCCCTCAAATGAAAGGTTTAAAGTAAATACTTTACAGTGATTATTTTTCATAGTTCTTCAACACTTTTGAAGGGTGCCTGGGGACATTTCCAGAGAAATACAGGTATGTTTGCTTATGCAGATGCCCTGAAGTCAGCTCCATATTCACAATCCTTATGTGAAAGTGGACATATTACCTTCTCATATTAACATGCTGTTCTTGTAACGAAAATAAAAACTTCTGAGTAAAAAAAAAAAGAGGACCATTATATTTTCTTAGTTTATATATAAATTGATTTATCTACATTTATAAAAACTAGAAAGTAAGGCTATCTAAAAGTCCCAGATCTTTAAAAAAAATTTTTTTTATTGTGAAAATACTGTACAGAGGGGTTATAATTACATGAAGTCCCAGATCTTTTAAAGAGTGCTTCTTTAAAAAGTTTAAGAACTATGAATCCCAATTTGGGCACTAGTGGTCCTCCTAAGAATGAGGCTCATGCTTAGATCAAAGGCTGAGATCTGAGGATTGACTTTGGAAGCTATGAGACTCTCATCTCCAATTAACCACCTAAGAGCTAGAAGCTGAGGGATAGCTCAAGTGGTAGAGTTACAATATTGAGTACAAAAACTAAAGAACAAGTGCCAGGTGCAGAGTTTACACACGCACACACACGCGCGTGCACAGACACACACATGCAAGCACACGCAACAAAACAAAATTTTAAGAATTTTCATTCTTGTTTTAAGTCAGTGCAATTGAAGGCACAGTAAAGAATGTATTCATCCTAGGAAGGATCACCATTCTCCAGAATAAAAAGATATTCATGAAAACAAAATCTTTCCTGTAAGCTTATAATTCCTAGCATACTTCCCTATCTTCTCTACTTGAGGCTTTCATCCTCATTGTTCTCTCACTAATTCAACTCAGAACAATCCAAAGCACAGGCTTGCCCATGAGTCAGAGACTACATGACCAGTGTGGTACTTCTCAGTGCCCTGTGCTTATCACACTCTTCAGCTTTGACTGAATGTAGGAGGCCACCTACCTTGCACGTCAAAGACCGGGTGCAGGGCTTCTTGGTGTCAAGGTCAATGACCCCACAGTGGATGTCAGGATCAAACTCTCTTTCTGTCAAGAGCATAGAAACATTACAATGGGCTCACCACACACTCCTTCATTTCGTTTTGGAAATAAGAACATAGGAGAAATCTCAAGACAGGAAAATTACCGAAATTATCATATGAATAAATTTCATCAAGTTATCAGTAATTCCAAAATAGATGATATGTAAGCACTTCAATGGAGCAAAAAATATCACTAGAGGACCACAACTGCCATCACATGCTGGAAAACAACGTTTATACAAGCATTGCTATATTGCTGCTTTTGGAAACACATGACTAGAAAGCTTTTTTAATATTATATACACATACCTTACTCCTCATCCCACACACACGCAGTATAAAACTGAGAGAAGAGGACAAGCACAGTGCTTAACGAACTATCCCCTAAAGCTGAAGTTCACTAGTTTTACAAAATAGACATAAAGACAGCAGTTCATTCAATACACATTTAATATACATAGAAGTATTAAGAGAAAACTGTGATGTTACCTGATAATCTTTTATTTAAAAACTTCCTATTATTAGAATTGTCTTCAGATTTCTTCTCCAGAGTTGGCGGTGCAGGAAGTCCTTTGCCATTCAGAATCTGTCCAGGTGAAGGCAAGTTTGGCTTTGGTATTGAGGGGCAGTTAAGGCCAGGCTTGACTGAGGAACTCACAGTAGCAGGACAGGTTGGCCCCACCGCAGATTTCAGTAGTGTGCCATCCATCTTCGGATGTATCTTTTCTACCTTTACAGAAGGCGTCATGCTGCTGGAGGAGGAAGTGAGAACAGCAAGGCCTGAGTACTTCATAGCCTTGAGTGAATGGTTAAGAATGAGGGCAGAGGCTGGCTCTTTCCAGCATAGCAAGGCCCAACCCCCTGGAAAACACCTTATGAATTATTTTGGAACTACTCAAGAGAAACCTACGTAGTTCACATTTATGTAGTCTGTAAGTTCTCTGAAGGGGCAAAAGGCCCAGAGGATTTTCAAGTGACTTTTGTCATTTCAGAAAGTTTTACCTACACAGCTATGTGAAATTCAGGCCTGATACTCAAGGCAATTTCTGCAAGAAATTTTTGCAAGAAGCAGACATGAAAAGATCATCAAAAAGACCTAAGACCACAACCCTTAGAGATTATGAGAGTCACCATTTTTAAGAAAGGATTCATCAAAACAAACTTCTGAATAGTAAATACTACCAAGTACCAACACTAAAAGACTTAACTCAAACAATGTTAAGCTAACAATGTCTTCAAGAAGAGGCCCTCTGCTTTTCTCAACAATAAAATATAATGTGGCTCTGCTTTAGACCCAAACAAATGTGTCTATAAGCACCTGTCACATAGCTAGCTGGTGGGCATGTTGTCATTTTGCCTGAAAAACCTGAAAATGTTGATTAAAAGCTAATTGTTGGCCTGGTCCACCTCTACAGATCTCATTTCACACAAACATCTGTAATGATGAGCTTTTGCAAATTTTGTCCAGCAAATCAGTACTCTGACAGATGACAAGTAACTTACACATCACATTGGCTTTTTAGCTTTTAAACAACTATAGGAGTGAAAGCCAACTTTGCTGTACTGTACTTCTGACAAGTGAGCAGGGGCTGAGGGCTTAGCAACTTCAAATAGCCCTACACAGCTATATCGAGAATAGCGTGACAGCAGCAGAACAATTCCAAGATACCACGATTGTCCCAGCTGGTAACTAAGTCCTTCAGCAACAGCAGGTGCTGGACCCTTCCTAAGATCAATCAGGTAGTCAGACTTTGGGAATGATATATGTGGCATACTCTGAAGGAAGGCAGACCAGGGAAAAGGCAACCACCACCAGGCTAAGGGATACCTTGACAAAGCAAGATATGTTTCTATAGGATCGTATGGAACTACTTCAGTCTTCTACTATGATGGAAAGTCAAAGCTGGCAAAGGGAAGCATGCTTCACTCTTGACCCCTACAAGTCCTAGAGCTAAGGCTGGGCATCTCCTCACCTTTTTACCTTGGCTATTGTCAACAGAAGTGGCAGGAACATCAACAGTCACACATTAACTGTCTTCAATGGGCCAGAAACCATGTCTGTTACATGACAGATACTAACTGGTACATTCCCCAATTCCACATAGTACTATTTGTTATTCAAAGAAATAGTGCCTTGCTCAAAGGCCTCAACTAGGAAGGGACAGAAGTAGGGCCAGAAACCAGGCCCATTTGACTTGGAGTCTTCTCAAAGTTCCTCAACCTAAGCTTGTTTCTCCTCCCATGGAAATGGGAATAGCAATTCCTATTCCACAGGTATGTGATGATCACTTAATGACAGTACACAACACAGCTTACTTTCAGTTACTAGAACACAGGAGAAGGATCAATAGACAAGTATTACAAACCTTATTACTACTTATTACTACTCTGAAAAGTCTCCTGCAATATAATAGGGACACAGAAAGAACCAATACAATGTACTTGAATTTCCCCCAAGTAGGCTCTTTCATATGACTCCAAGACTCTCATACTCACACACACACAGCTCATTACCAGCAGGTAAGCTTTAAAAACACTTGTGGCCATACTCACACTCTAGCAGGGGGTACTCTACTCTGCTGAATGGGATGCATGGGCCTGGTGCTCCCCCTGAGTGGCAGTTTCTCTTTGGGTGATTTCAACAACTTTGAACTTGATGAGGGCGCACTGAGAACTCCTCCACTGGAAGACCTGCTGCTTCCACCTGCACTGCCTCCTTTGCTTTTGGGCAGAGAATTGAAGAAAGAAAATACTGAAGTGGGAGGGACGGCCAAAGGCGGCTTGCTGGATGAGCTATGTCTTCTTTCTGAAAAGGAAAATCAAGAACAAAACAACCATGTTTCAGGAAAATCTCAAATGGGACTCTTAGAAAAATTCCCTGAAATCAACACCTTTAGGCCAAAACACGTATAATTAATTGAAAATTTGCAAAAGGCAACAACTTTCAGAAGGGCTTATCTAGGCCCTACAGACTTAGGATTCTAAGAACCAGTGCTATTTCCAACACATCTTGGCATAAAAGGTTTATCATCCAGAGCCATTAAAAAATTTCCCATTCTACATTTGAGCATACAGTCTTGGGTTTTGTTATGTTACAAATGAATCCCACTAGCTTCAACTTACACTAAGAGGCAATATTATTCACTCATCTTTACAGCCTGTTAATTGATACCACGTGTAATTTTCTTCCTTTCTAGCATAGCACCTCTCTGATTTTCAGAATAGCAAAATCTGAAGAAACAAGTTGTACCATTTTCCCCCCTAACCACCAGCACAGAACACCAAATAAAAAATGTTATCTTATCATTCCTTAGGAATCTGTGCTAAAATTTTCCAGTGAATCATTTTAACTCCTTCCCCTTTAATAATCTCACTCAACTACAGATGGCATAGCTCCGGATCACACCGCTAAGATGCCAAAGGCACAAGACAAAAATACCACAAATAGCTAGGCCTCTTTTTTAAAAAAGCAGGAAGTAATTAATGGGTAAGTACAGACTACAAAGGTTTAACTGAGAATCATATTTTCTCAAAGCAAAGCAATCTATATTAATAAAAATCAGAGATGCTTAAACAATGTTACAATAAGAAATAGGTTAAGTAGTAACTATTTTCCTAAGAAACCTGTTTTGGTAGTTTAGTGACTGTCTTCAATTAAACCTGGAATTTAAAACTGCACATTTACTTAACTCTTGAGTTTTAAAATGAATATTTTAATGCATAATTTAATATATTACATAAGGCAATGAAAATACATCCATTTATGATAAGTATTTCAAATTAAACCTGTAATTCAGGAAAAGAATTTTGTACACAGTCATCTCTGTTCTTCATGCTTTTAATCTTAAGTTTGCTTTTGCATAAATCTTTATAAAATTATTAAAACCTCTAAATTACAAAGCAAAAAAAATGTGTATGAATGAATACTGACTGGACTTACATGCGTACTGAAACCTTAAGCATGTTAGAATCAGTGACAACTAGCATCACTTAAATGGCTTACTTCCAAAGACTTGGTATTACTTTGGGGCCTTTGGGTAAAGCTATGATGACTTATTCCTGGAAGGACCGTAGTTTAGCAACACTTTATGAGGTGCTTGAGAATCTGATTCACAGCAGGAGAAAATGACATTATCTGCAGGCAAAATTCAAACTTTCCAACTTATACAAAGGTACAATCAATTTAGGAAGACTAAACTAATATGATTTATAAGTGCTGGCCTGCTCCTGTATTAAGTTTTATGTCCAAGGAAGGGAAATTTAAGGTAACTTCACTTTAATCAATTCTCAAATTTAGCACCTGAGGTGTCTTTGTTTTGGTAAAAATACAGGTTTTTTTTTTAGGTAGGCATGGTGGGATACACCTATGGTCCTAGCATTTAAGAGGAGGCTGAGAAAGGTTTGAGGCCAGCATGGCAAGACTATTGTAAAAAAACAAAAACAAAAGTAGAGTTTCTTTCTTCTTCTTTTGTGGCCATACTGAGGGTTCAAACTTAGGGTCTTGCACTGCTAGGTCTGCCATTATTTTCACTTTCAGTTATTTTTTAGATAGGGTCTTACCTTTTTGCCCAGGGCAGGCCTGGACATTCATCCTCCTATTTACTTTCCATGTAGCTGGGATGACAGACATGCACCATTTTGTCTGGCAGGAAATTTATTTTTTCTCCCAAACATTCTGAACATACTCCCAAGCATGTTTATAGTTTTGTTGCCTGTCCTATATGGGTGGAACTTCCATGAGCCTTATCTCTTATCTTCCTCTATAAGGCATGCCACAAGAAAGAAGTCTTCTATTTATATTTTAAAGACTGTATTTTAAAGACTGGTACAGCTCTCTTGGGAAAAAGATTTTCAAATGGCCTAGTAGTTCACAATTTCAGCTATATTTCTGAGTGACTAAAAACTCTGATGTTTGTACCTCTCCTACAGCCTGTGATTTAATTGATTTGGGGTGTGATACAGGCATCCAGACTTCCCCAGCTTTTGTGTGTGACTGTATTGTACGGCCTAGGTTGAGAGCCTGACCTAGGCTAGGCAAACAACTCAGGAACCATTAACCATGGCTGAGCGAGTTAACATCTGCACAGTGCTGAGAACATATGGCATACCGCACTTTATTTAAAGTCTCGTCAACTATAGCTCACTGCTACTACTTTGTCTTAGTGATTTTCAAACTTTCATCAAATGCAACTATTTCCATCATTCTTAACAAAGTCATTTTTTAAACTTAATTTTTTAAAAACTTAATATTTTTATTTTGGAACTGGAGGCATAGTTCAAGTGGTGGAGTGCCAGCCATGGTTGAAAAAGCTAACTAAGAGATGAGATTCTCAGTTGCACACACATGCGGAACCATTTTCATCTAAATCATTTTCAATGGTATCACTGCTTCCTCCTTACTATAGTTCTAAGTCTCTCCAGGGAGCATTCTTGGTATTCTGTACCTACATACAGGATTTCAGGGTGGTCAGCATTCCCAGTCTCCTACCAATTAATCACCAGCAATGTCCCTCTGTCACAGACAACTTTCACTCCTACCCCCACCATTTCCAGATAGGCTCCAGGGTAAAGCATAGAACTACCACTCTTAGCTGAGAGCTATTTTTTTCCCCCAAACCAATATATCCATGAAACAGTTAAGTTTTTTCCCCTGAAAATATTAAAAGAACCAAGTATTTAAATATCTACCCATATTAATTCACAAAAAGCATCTTGTGCACTCACCCCAAGCAGTGCAATTAAACAATGATACCAGGTCTGTGGTACAAAGGGAAAGGGAAAAAAAAAAAAAACAACTACAAATGTAGTATTCTTTGGGCATCAGAAACCTCAGAGAATCTGAGAGAAAAAGTACAATGGTCCCCAACTTTTGAAGGTTCAACTTACAATGTTTTGACTTCATAATGCTGCAAAAGTGATACTTGTTTAGGTACTTGGAATTTCCAATCTCTGTTTTCTCAGACAGCATAAAACCACAGTTGTCAACCAGATACATGATCTGAAAGGAAGAAATCCATGTGCCAAGCTGTGCTGTCACTAAGCTACAATGCTCAAAACTTGGGAGAATTAATATATTCTTGACTTAATGATAATTTCAACTTGCCAAAGCTTTAATGGGTCCATCATTAGTTGAGTAGCATTTGCAATGTAGTTTTTCTTAAGATCAAATGATTAAAGAAAATTTGTAATCTAGTCAGTTCAACTATAATGCTGGCTTTGAGAATGCAAATTTATTCCAGAATAATCTAACCATAATAAAAATTTCCATATGCTTTTGTCTCTAAGAAATACTAAGGGAATGTAGAAAACTACACCTGGCTGAACTAGTCACATGGGGTACCCTGAGGCACACGGAACCTCAAGCATCTATCATGCACCTCAGGTCAGGGCACAGGTTAAGAACCACACTCCAATGCATTTGGTGTTAACAGTTTTCTGTCAGTTCCATATGATTTTCTTCCATCACTTCCCACAATTCACAAGTTGTGATCTACTCTATACCCACTTCACAGTCAAATGCCAGGACTTTACAAGGTAAATGGTCAAATTTACCTTAGTATTTGCATATATTTAACCATTTATCATTTGTAAGACGGTGCTACCATTTTCAGTAGGTTCCTATCTTTTTTTGTGTCACAAAGACATTTTTAGTATTGTGCCATAATTCATTTTCCCAATATGCCTCATACGGTTTTTATTGCATAATTTTGCACAGTGCACTAATTTTTAAGGAATGCATGTTGTTATATAGCAGGATTGATGGCAACTTTTGGCTTTTTTTTCTTCTTCAATTTTCAGGTCTCATCATGGTCTGCCCTCCCTTTTTCTTTAGTTAACATCTTTCCTTGCCTGTTAAGGCTTACATGGGATTCAACATTAGAGAAACAAGACTCAAAGCTTCTTAATGATAAAAGTCTGTTGCCATGTCAGTACTTCCCCCAAATCCCTGCTTTAAAATAAAGTCTATTTGAAACTAAGAAAGGCAATTTATTATGTGACTTTTTCATTCACTAAAACTTGAAACAGATTGTATCTGTATGTGTAAACTGAGATTGTGCCAGCTCAAATCCCTGTCATGCTACTGAATTAAGTTGTTCCATCACAGTACAAACGCGAAACTTATTCTGTGAGAAGGACAGAATCTGGCTTTCTCCTTAGAAGAAAGCAAAGATAAAAAAATTAAATTATAGCTGAATTTGACTCCATTTAACCTTTCACTGTGTGTCTTTATATTTCGTAAGATTTTAAACAGAGATTAGAGCTTTAAAAAAGTATTTCTTCCGAGATCAAAAGGAAAGTGAGCAACTTATGAGTAAGTTAGGGAGGCTATATTAAACTGAACAAAGTAAAGTAGTGGCTGGATGCTAAGCCAAACTGCCATGTGGTTTGCTAAAGAGTCCAAGTTGAGTTTTCAAAGAGCTCCTCTCCTCTCTCCAGAACCTGGCACTAGCCCAGATAAAGCACCCTCTGTCCCTGAATGAGGAGCATATTGTGAATAGCTCTAGTAAGTGACAGAAAGGCAGGCAGACCACCAGACAGACAAGCACAAACATAGGGAAATTGAGAGCAGTGACAAAGGTAAACAGACACACAGAAGGAGGATAGGGGCAGGAGAGATAGAAGGGAATGGAAAGAAAGAGCAAACAAGAGAGATGAGTGGGGAAGGAGAGGGAGACACATCTGCACTGGCCATCTTATCCCCTGAGGCTTGCTAATGTGACATGCTTACCAGATAAGGGCAAGCGGATGGTTTAAAAGAGAGGCATTCCAAAATGGAAAGCAACTGACAATACTAAGCTTATAATT